GTACTGCAGGCAACTTTACATTGATTTCATTAGTTTTGTTTTGTAGTTGAAGCGAATGCCTAACAGGAGGCAGTTTTTGGTAACTTTGATGTATTGCTATAAGGCCGCTTATCTTTGTATTGGAACATGACTGTTATCAACATTTGGTGGCTCCTAAAAGAGCCGTTTTGAGTTTGTTATTAAGCTGGGAGCTTAATGTTGTTTCTTCTCCGCCTTCTTGGGTAGAAGCACTGCTTGTATGTTGGGAAGAACTCCACCCTGAGCGATAGTCACACCAGCAAGAAGTTTGTTTAACTCTTCATCGTTTCGAACGGCTAACTGCAGGTGACGAGGGATGATCCTGGTTTTCTTGTTGTCCCGAGCAGCATTTCCAGCTAACTCGAGAATCTCAGCACTCAGATACTCCAGTACGGCAGCCAAGTAGACTGGAGCACCTGCGCCGACACGCTCGCCGTAGTTGCCTTTGCGAAGGAGACGATGGATACGACCAACAGGAAACTGAAGTCCTGCCCGGGATGAACGGCTCTTAGACTTGGTGCCCGGAGCTTTGCCTTTTCCTCGACCTGTCATTTTCACTTTCTGAATGTTCTCTTTGCTTGTTATCTCTGGCAAAGTTGAGTTGAACGATTTTGTTCTAGTCTAGTCAGCCCGAAACTATGACCCGGATTTTTATTTGATTTTTCTTCAAATCAGAGGATCAAAGCGCACCAATCAAAACCGCGCCGTACTCCGAACAAAAGATAATTAGCAGGCAAAATGCGCTGTCGGTAGCGTCGGCCTATGGGTAGTTGTCAGTTAATGAAATAACCAATCGGCGAAAGGCAATTTCGATCCGCATACTAATTAATCCTCCTGGATAATTTGTAATAAATAGCAGTTAAGTTACCGTGGCATGTTCAAAGCTGATCTCATCGGATCATCTAGAATTCCAAACAATTTTTCAGAGAAGCCAGATAAACATGGCACCGAAAGTTCCAGCAGCAAAGAAAGGCGAGAAGCGAGCGGGAAAAACTAAGTCGGCGGCAGTTGATGGTTCGGCCAAGAAAAAGAGGAAGGGAAAGAGAAAGGAGAGCTATGCGATCTACATCTACAAGGTCCTTAAGCAAGTTCATCCCGATACGGGTATTTCTAGCAAGGCCATGGGTATCATGAATTCGTTTGTGAATGATATCTTCGAGCGTATCGCCAATGAGTCTTCCCGCCTGGCGCACTACAACAAGAAGTCGACCATCAGCTCCCGCGAGATCCAGACCGCCATCAGGTTGCTTCTGCCCGGAGAACTTGCAAAGCATGCTGTCAGCGAAGGCACTAAGGCTGTCACCAAGTATACCAGCAGCAAGTAAACATCGACTCCAGCGTTGATTCACAACAAAAACGGCTCCTTTAGGAGCCACCACATGTCATAAAAAGCAATGTCCAACGTGTCAGTTCTTTAGTTATTAACCCCTTCTGCTCCTTTAATCGCCACACTACACAAGGCTTTCTTTTAAGCTTTCAGATTTGAGATAACTATTAGATTTAAGAGAAATATATACATAGAGTTTTTGTGTGTGTGTGGTTTTTTTTTTT